GCCTTGGCTTCTGTCAACTCTCAAGCTAATAGCACGGATCGACAGACAGTCGCTTTCGGGTTGGGCAGGCGAACTGTGTTCTCCTTCTCACATGCTCTTCGAATGCAAATGCAAGCTGATGACTCAGTTCGTTGGTCCAACCCGAGCTACGACTGATGACGGCAACAGCAGGAGAATGCCCTCATGCCTGACGGGTGGCAAGAAGGGCGATAAAGAAGCCCCAGGTCCGTGCTACAACGCAAGCACTGCAAGACACTGCGAGATACTGCGAATTTCGAAGCCTCAAGCTCAGACTAGGAGCTGGAACCTTTGCAGTGATTGTCCTGGCGCAACACCATAGGCAGAACTGGCCAGCACTCACGCAACTAAGCTGCTGTTGCTGTGGTCCGATCGCGCGAGCGGCTCATCAGAGCTGAGAAAAAGTTGTTCAAAGATTCGATTCTGTCATCTCCATCAGTATGCAGAGTCAGGGCATCGTCGGGCCCATCTTCGCATGATCATCGGGATCCAACCTAGCCCCCATATTCCTCACGAAAGCTTGAAGGTGTTGAGTTGCTTAAGACTCGGCGAAGCGAGCACTCTGCGCTGGAGGTACGAGTTGAAGTGGCAGGGAAGGCCTCCCCATGTCCTGCTTTCCGGATAAGCCCCGATGGCAACCAGGGCCCGAACCTCAAAAGCCTCAAAAGCCGCACGGGCTCGGCAGAAGGCCTCAGAGCGGCTCTAGCACAAGTTTCCACACGCAAGGGGCGCAAGCGGCTTCGTCGTGTGACGAGGCGTGCTGGATCCCAAGTTGCACGTGCACGAAAGCTCCCGAACAGTGCGGACATCTCGTCACCACAAGCGTACGGCGGGGATCCGACCCTAGACCCCTAAACCCTAAACCCCTAAATCCTGAAGCTCCAGTCATGGGGGCTGGCGACTTCTGGCCTCATCAGAGCCTTGGGAGCTGCTTCACCGGCTGTCAAACGTCGGCGAAGTGGCTCCAATCACGGCAACCTCACTCTCGCAACGAAGGAGGACCTCCGTGCAGCCAGGGCAGCACGCAGTCTGTTTTGCGGCCCGTGCCGAGACGCTCATGCAGAGAATGGTGCTGTTTGCAGGGGAGCGACGGCAGACTCTCAGGGAAACAATCAGGCATCTCAAAGCGTCAGAGGCACCTCCTTACCTGCTGCAGGGTGACGAATGCTTTGTGCAGGCCTGCATGTCTTTAAGAGCGGTGGAGGCTGGCAATGCGAGAACCGGTGGGGGCGGGAGCCAAGAACACCTGCCAGAGCTGCACTTGCCACATCTCAGAACTGTGTCAGGTGGTTTTCTGTCGCCTGTCGTGCGAGCTCCACCGCTCGCACCCTCGACGTCAGCAACTCAGCCGCACCAGCATGCGGCTTGTGGCACTGAAGATGCACCGAGTCTGCGAGACCTCCAGACATGTCGGGAAGCCCAGAAACAATTCTTGCAGAAGTATACGGGCATCGGCAGCTCGTAAGGCGAAGGTCTGCTGATACTCCAAACCCCAGCTGATCACGGGAGCCACCACGTTTGCTGATCCGATGTGTTTGTGGCAGAGAAGAGCCCCTCTGAAAGCAAAGGCTTGCCGGGAGTTCCTGGAGATCTGAGCTAGATGAGGGGACCTGCGTCCTAATGCAAGGGGCCCCAACAATTAGAAGAGGGTTTTGGGCTTAGGGTTTAGGGTTTAGGGTTTGGAGATTCCGGAAAGGGCGCCTGCAAAAAGAAGCAGCTCAACAAGACGCAGCAGGGAGCAGTGAGTCAGCAACCCCATTTTCCCCTGCTGCGGGCTCAAAAGCCTGGACTTGGCATGTGCTTCGACGGTGTTGAGAAGCACGCGACAGTCTCTGGCAGCAGATGGGCTTTGCAACGTCTTATATATGCCACGCACATCACGTAATGTAATGGCGGCTCTCCGCTCGTTGCGGGCTCGAGTCGGTGCTTCGACTACGAAACTTCGGCACAAAGCCATGGAAGGTTTTGAACGAGCACCAGGGGCGAACAGATGCAGTCCGAGTCGTTCAGGCGGAGACGAAATGCATGGAAGCCCCTTGGCAACTTGGGAGGCGCCTCACCATAAACCCTGATCCCGATTTAGGGTTTAGGGTTTAGGGTTTAGGGTTTAGGGTTTAGGGTTTAGGGTTTAGGGTGCCCGCAAGTGAGCGCGTGCAGGCCGATCGCTGGCGGTCCCGAGCAAGGCCGACAGGCTACGGAAGGCTCCCTGACACTTCGCCGGCATTCGCGCTCGCCCCTAAACCCTAAACCCTAAACCCTAAACCCTAAACCCTAAACTTGACTCTGGAGTTTATTGGCCGGCTTCGGGCCATCTTGGACCCCTTAAGCCCAGCACAACTAACTTACATCGTGAGTTACTTGTTCATTGGACAAACTCATAGACAAGCAAATAAAAGCTGATTGAAGTGTGCTATTGTCAGGTCCGAGGTAGGTCAAAACCGAACCATCAAGTTGAGATTTAACTTTATTTAACTTCTGGATTCATTGGCTTTCGGACCTTGCCGTCATCCGCTCGCATCCTGGCAACCTGCCCGCAGCAAAACATGCTGCGTGCAGCAGTCACCAGAGCCAAGGAAGACTACCGTCGAGACATAGACCCGAGGCACACTCTTGGTCTACCCGCATGGCATGGATGGCCTCGCCAGCAAAAGCGAAGCAAAGGCATCTGAAACACAGACCCAACCGGGTGGCCGTTGCATCATCCTCAGAGTGGATCTCGCAACTGCTTTGCAAAGAGCATCAACATCGGTCGCACTGAATTGATCTCGGGGTCCTAGTTCTGAAATAGAGCATCTGTCTTCAAGCGGCCCGCACACCGCCTCCCAACCGATGTGCGACGATGGAGACCAACAAATGACGACGTCTTGCAACGCGCACGCAAAGACAGGACGCGGACATGATCACGGAGGACACCTACCTGCGGCTCCTGGCTGGAAAAGCCTGCGTTCATGCAGTCAAATGCAGGGGCCGGAAAGCCGCAGGAAGCTGGCTCGTCGCCTAAACCCTGAACCTAAACCCAAGCCGCCAGGAAGGGCTCGTCGACGCAAGGGCTCGGGGCCCGGCGATTCCCCGGCACGGCACCTTGGCCGCCGTGGCCATCATGCCTTAAGGAATAGACCTTAAGTTGTAGTAGGAACCCTAATAACTAATACGACCTAAGGTATACTCAAGTAGATTCCGTACTGCCTGAAACAGGGCGGAAGAAGCAGCGGAGGAGGGCTGATTGCGACTGCACTGTCTCGCCCGGTGCGGCATGAGCCGCAGACGAGGATCTCCAGAAGCGCAGCGGTGCAACGCCCACCTGCCTTCCCGTCGGCGCGCGGATCACGGGCCCGTCAATGTGCGACGCGTAGCTTTCCCAACTCCTGGCACTGTCCGATTGAGAAGTGCAGAGCCAGAAACTGTGGCAAGCTTTCATGGCCGTCTCCGTCATAATGCCGGCTTCAAGCAGGAGGCATTGTGGCTGTAGGCGTTCCAGAGGGTTGCTTGCTTCCGCTCGTCACGGCTACTTCCTGGATTTCGGTGGCAACGGCTTCTGCAGCTCAGGCATGCATCAAGTCATGACCTTGCGAAAACAAGAGCAAGACTTGACGCGGCTCCAACAATCGACGGTTGGGAAGACAACTGCAGAACTCCCAGATTCCCGGCGATCCCGCTTCAAGAAGAGCGCAACAGCCTGTCGGGGCTTGGCGAGCCTGCAAACGGGCACTGGAGACACCCAGTGCGCTGACCAAAGGAAGGCTGCCAGAAATCGCTACCCTAAGCTTTACACCTTGAACCCCTAAACCCTGATAGCATCTGCCCGCAATCCCACGAAAAGACGTCGCAGATGCAGAAAGCACGCCGCCGGTTGGGGCCCTCACGAAGCCACCTTCCAAGCAGCTGCAGCACGAGAGCTAACGGTTCAGGGCGTAGAGGGTGTAGGGTAGAGGGCGTCCCTCGAGAAAGAGGCTCTGCCAGGAAGGGAACCGAGAGCCCTAAACCCTCAACCCTAAACCCTGAACCTAAACCCAAGCCCCCAGGAAGGGCTCGTCGACGCAAGGGCTCGGGTCCCGGCGACTCGCCGGCACGGCACCTTGGCCGCCGTGGCCATCATGCCTTAAGGAATAGACCTTAAGTTGTAGTAGGAACCCTAATAACTAAGATGACCTAAGGTATACTCAAATAGATTC